GAGAGAGAGAGAGAGAGAGAGAGAGAGAGAGAGAGAGAGAGAGGGATGCATGTGAAGATAAGACTAGAGTTCATTTTTGTTTTACATCATTTTCAATGCAAACAAATTGGTTGTGAGATGGATGAGTTATTCATTTGGGTGTGTGTGAGTGTGTGTATGTGGTATGCGTGCGTGTGGTGCTTGAATGTTTGTGGCAGAGTATAAAACAAAATCAAATCATTACAACTTAAAATTTTCATTTTGCAAAAGACAACTGGTCAGATGTAGGACTAAAACATATTTGTAATTTTATTTAAAAAATGGAAAAATCATTGTGCATATCCACTGAAACTTGTACACATTAACTGCATCATCTTCCCACATTAACTTTTGAGGGACTTTTATTTTGGTAACAAAAAACCTGGCCATCTTTGCACCTTACCTGATGCTCTGTTCTCAAAAGCCACACCGTAACACTTCTCCAGGCCTTGTCGGAGCTGTCTGAGGACTTCCTCATACCAGTTTTCTCGGAACCACACCATCTGGCAATTGCAACCGTATTTGCATTTTAGTATGGGATTGGACAAAAGCTAGCATTTATAATTAAAATTTCAAAATCAGACCTATGGTGCTATTATATGATAACAAAAACCCTAAGTGGTCTCTGTGATCTTGCTTCATCTGAATGTTTCAAGAGAAGTTCATTTTCAAATATCCAATAATAAAACAGATCAAAGATCAAATCAAAATGAGACCACAGTGATAAGTAGTAACGCAACATTCAAATAAGAAATGTTTTAGAGTGCTAAATAAAAAGGATTCAGAACCTTACAGACATACAGTATACTTGAACAGTCTTATAAACACTGGCACAAACATAATCTATTACACCCAAGCCAAGACATAATTTTAAACACAGTAAGCCAAACACGAGGCAAAAGTTAGTCTTACAAACGTCATTTTAAACTATGTCATCATAAGTTCACAAGGCCAAAGTAAGCAGTTAGATATTGTTCACAAAAAATTCTCCTCAAAGGGATCAGGGAAGGACAAATACATTTAAGGCCAAATACATTTGCATGTTGTTTGTTTTAGTAGAGGTTTTACATTACTCGCAACTGCATAAGGTCATATAAGAGCCAGAAGATTAGAGGTGTTACAAGAGAGTAACAAACACAAAAAAGAAGGAGGGGAGATAAGGACAATAGATGTTCGATAGGAAAGAAGAAGCAAACCACACTAGAGCATCCGCCAACCACCCACACATTTGTATTTGTAGTGTAGTGTTCATCTCATCCCAGAACCTCACATCAGAGGCTGTATACATATTACATAATTGTAAGCGTGTTATGACCCAAATAACACAATCTAGATCATATGGAAAGGGGACTGCTTTGATCTTGTCTGTCAGGGCCAAGCCCTCCACTGAATGGAACCCAGAATTCTACTTGATGGAGATAAGATTTTAAAAAATCAAACCCTTCCCCATTAGGGAATTTGAACTCATGTCTTCTGCATGTGACCGATAAGAGCCTAACCGTTATACCACAAAAATCAGCCATTGCTGCCTCAGTTGAGAGTGTAGGTGTGTGCATATGTGTATGTGGGGTGGGGGTGGGGGGGGTGTTAAAGAAAGTTTTCCTCCTTGTTTATACTCTTTTTCTACTGCAAGCCGCTCCCAGCGGCTGGAGGTTGGAACCACTGAGCCAGTGAACCGCTCGGGCACATTCTTTTACAACGACTTCGCTATCAAATTACTTTTCGACAATTGCCGAAAAATGGTCTCTTACACCGGAAGTTCATTCCTTAGATGAAGAACTATCAAAATAGGTTTGCTAGTTTCGATTTTATGACCCATTTAATGATGTTTTTGTCATTTTAAAATTTAGCACCAAAAAAGGGCCCTGGCAAAGTCACCCACTAGTTGGGGCTGGGGGTTGACAGCTGCCCCCTCCACCCACACCACTTCTCCAGGCTCTCTGTTCTTATGCCTCCAACAGCCTTTGATGTAAGAGTCTTAGATGAAATGACCTCAACAAACAACCTCCCATTTACCTGGTCAACAATGACCTCCAGAGTGGACAGAACAGTGGGGTGGACGTCCCTCTGAATGGACATGATCTTGGAACACCTCCACATGGGCTCCGGCGCCTTGATTGGCCCTGACTCCGAGTTGCTGCTGGACAAGCCGGCTTTGTTCTGAGGGGCCGAGTTCTGGCCAGGGGTGGTGCTGGCCGCCTGGGGGGTACTGGAGCCGCTGGTGGAACTTGACAGGAAATCTGAAATCAAAAGTGAAAACGTTTCAACATTTAAAGATATCGTTTGGCTGGCTCATTTAAGTTAAGAGAGGCACATTAACACAGTAACATTTAGAGCTAGGGAAAAACAGGACAGAAACAACAGAGGAAAAGTACACAAGTTAGACCTACTCAAGGCACCCTCCAACTGTTTCTTGGGGGAAAGAGAAGCATATCGTCACCATAATGTTCACAAAGCACACGGTACAAGTAAGACAGACACAGAAACAATAAAGCCAAGGAAATGAAATAGGAACTTCAGTGATCTTCCAGCCACCTGCTTCGATATTCCAAAAAAGGCAATATTGTCCCCTTCCGAAAACAAACTACTATGCTTTCAACAACCGAAAGATGAAAAGATATGACAGAACAGGCTTTTCCCCTTTTAAAAATCTGGGTTTATGTGAATCCGAATATGGGTCTTTGGAAAGGAAAAAGAATTTTCACACATCAGATTTTGGGGGGCATCTAACAAATCTACCAAAAATGATGATACCTTAGTATCAGTAGCAAAATGCTACTAGCAGTAAAAATATTAGGAAAGTCTTGAACAGAGGAAAATATTTAGTAACTACTACCCTATGAGAGAGAGAGAGAGAGAGAGAGAGAGAGAGAGAGAGAGAGAGAGAGAGAGGGGGAGGGAGAGAGGGAGGGAGGGAGGGAGGGAGGGAGGGAGAGAGAGAGAGAGAGAGAGAGAGAGAGAGAGAGAGAGAGGGGGGGGGGAGGGAGGGAGGGAGGGAGGGAGGGAGGGAGAGAGAGAGAGAGAGAGAGAGGGAGAGAGGGAGATAGGGAGAGGAGAGAAGGAGAGGAGAGAGGGGGGAGGGAGAGGGAAAGGGAGCGGGAGAGAGATGCTGCAATGGAGGAGACTGATGAAGACAAAGAATACAGAGTTTTCAGAAATGAAGAGCTCAGAAAACAAAAGTAGAGAAAGGGAATGAGAGAAATGAGGCCGGAAGATGAGGACGAAGAGGAAAAGTGGGGGAAAAAAACCCACCCGAAAAAAGGAAAAGCAAAGAACAAAGTAAAGCAGAAATAGATGCAGCAGCAGCAGATAGTTTCTCTCTGAACGTGAGCAAGCAAGCTCTTCAACATGCTCACCTGACACAGAGCCTGCAGCCAATGAGGTGAGAAGCCCCTCCCCTACACTGGGGCTACTGGCTGATGGGGTGGGAGGGGCAGCACCTGGAGCTCCAGAAGATGACAACGAAGAAGACACTGATGTATCGGCATTGGTGGCTGGTGTGGAGCCAGATGGTGCATTGGTCGAACCTGTGGTGGTTGCTGTGGCCGTGCGGGAGGGGTCGATGCCGGCTTTCTTGTCTGTGGGGGAAAGAAATGTTTCCTCCGACTCACTCGCTGACAGACCCAAGAAGTTCAAATTTCATTTTTTCCCTCTACTACAGTAGTCTCTGCCTAAGATCCCAGTGCTTGGGAGCCAGGGAAATGCAGGATCTTAGCTTATGTACCAAGGAGAGAATCCACAGTGACTCATGGTCAGGCTTGCAAGTGGAAAAATAGTCTCCCCTTAAGCTAAAATGTGCTGACGTGACCCATGGGGTGAGTTTATGACTTATGGCGCGCAAAAAGTTGTCAACCTTGACGACCAATAACAATGGCATGAGGCATGATATTTTCATTCATCCAATCAAGAGTCCCAAGATCTAAATGCTTCTCCGCTTTACCTGGCTAAAACTTTGAGTTTTCCATCTGAGACCGAGTGCCTCACTCCTGTCGTAACACACCATTGTGTTGTGACCGAATCAATTAAAATTCAGTCTGCCTAACAAATTCCGGTACACAGAGATGCAAGTAAGACAACTGCTGCAATGGTCAGGAAAACAAAGGCACCGAATAGTTCACACTTCGATGCTATCACGTCTGATGCAGACCTGCATGCCCTACCCACTCAGCAAGTGATGCAAGTTCAGGTGGAGAGCTCAAATGCGAGTGCCAATGAGTTAACACCTCAATGTGAGGGGCAAACATTGTACTGTGTCATCAAGATTTACAATGATTGTTTTTATTCCGTAAATTATTATCTGAAATGCGGGATCTTAACCTAATGTAATCTTTCAGGTGGGAATCTATTAGGTGGGACTTTTGTGCAAAAAACAGCAGGATCTTAACGCGAACTGGGATTGTAAGCAGTGGGATCTTAGGCGGCGTCAACTGTGTAACCTGATGCGTTTTGGGTTTGGTCTTTGAGGGTAAGTAACTGTTGTCCTTTACAATTTGAGAGAGCATCGTTTGAGTTACATTTTTTGATAACTGAAAAAAATTTTGTTTTTAAAAATCTCAGCTGACCTGAAACACATTTTGACACGATGATGAATGAAACTCACAATATTCTCAAACTGATGGACCCATGGACTGTGTTCCATCTAAACTTTTTCAGACACGATAGTGATGCTTACCCAAGTTATGTAGAGGGTTCACTTTAGTAGAGGCTAGATAGAGGAAGGCTATTGGGATTAGTGACAGTGACCATTAAAGATATCTTATGAATTTTTTTTCACTGTTCAGTATGGTTTTATTGCCCTTTTGCATGCTAAGTTCCTATGTTAAGTGGTGAAAAATAAGATAACAATGAGCGATAAGTTCCTATGTTAGGTGGTGAATAATAAGATAACAATGATCGATAGCAATTACTGCCAAAATGCCTGGCTTTCTTTGGACTTTGAGCCATAAAGTTCCTGGCAGCACTGTTTTCACTCCCAAGTGAACATTTTCACAAGAGGACATTTTATCGATGCTAAGTGTTTTATTGTAATTACTGCTCAATCGACTCAATATAAGACAATTTCTCCTTCTACCAGCCAAAGCCAACCAGAGCTGGACAGGACTATCTTTTTTCTTTTTTTGATGAAAAAAAAAAAAGACACACCTCAGCAGAAAAATATAGACGCTTGATGTGAAGAGTGTAACTCCTACACCATAGATGTAGATAAGGGGTGTGGAGTCCAGAGGTAAAGTAGGTTCCAGCACATTTTCAGTCTGATAATGAATGTCCCAAAAGACTCATTTGAGTTCTGTGTGTCAATTGGCTATGTAAAAATAAATCAGGAACTTTTCGGACCCTGTGGATTGCTTGCGTGTGAACTCAAAACTTATGGATTATATTGTCCAATACATCTTGTATTAAGAAAACTTTTATACCTTGAGCAATATGACAAGCACACAAAAGATCAAAATATAAATAAATGTCTGAACTTAGCCATAATATGAAAAATTTCAGAAATCTGGATATCCAGATGTAGGAAAATTGGCATCTCTGTGTATTACCGTACTTCTCATCAAGACAGCTTAACTTACATTATTTTTTAGGTATGTGAAACAGAGGAGGTACTGGCCAAACACACATTAAAAAAGAAAAAGCATTTAAAAATGTTCATTATTTGTCAACTAAAACCATTCCTCTAGCAGTGACTGTTATCATCGACAGTTCTGGCAAGCGGCACTCACGTCTCTCTCGCTGCTCCAGTTTGAGGGTGAAGTAGAGCGTGCGGATGGGGAAGTAGACGGCCTGCGGGTACATACGCCCGATGGTGGTCAGTACGTTCATGATCAGCTTTCCCTCCTTCCTCACCAGGCAGGTTAACAGCTGGGGGATCCTGAAAGGTCGTTCAAATGTCATGCACACAGGCTCGTTTTTTGGGGAGGTTATAGGAAAAAATACACGATGTCAAAGGTTGCAGACACAGAGAAGAAGAAGGTCGCAGTCTAACGAGAAAAAGGTTATTGAATGTATCAGATACAGAAAATACAGCTTGGTGGGCTGCTGTTTAAAAAATAAGACGAAGGTCATTTGGGTTGCAGGCTTGAGAAAAGATAAAGGACTCTCTCTCCCTGTCCCCCCCCCCCCCCCTTCTCTCTGTCTCCCTCTACATTTGGTAGCAGTTCAAAGAAAAGATGAGGGTAACTGGAATGTCAGTAAAAGAAAAGATAAGGGTTGGGAGGTTATCATTTTTTAAGCTTTGTAGGTATCGCTTTTGGCTACAATACGGATAACCCTAGTATGAATCCACAACAAGACATTCAAAAAGTTGCATTGATTGGGGAAATTCCAAGGCTCTCCACTCAACTGGCTCAGTCAATTCGGAGACAGAGCAAATGAGAAAATTTGTTGTTTAAGTGACCATGCAGTTTTTTAAAGGGCCAGTAACTCTTTAGATGACAGACAACAAGGTGTCGAAACGCTTAATATGAAGTGGGTGTTGCCCACACAAAAACTCCCATGAACCATCTACTCACAAAAGCAGACTTTTGTTAGGCATATAATTGTCAATCTAGAATCTCACCATTCCACAGGAGACAGAGATCTTAAACCACTACAATGCAATGGAATAAGAAAATAAGAAAGAGACCCCCCACCCCCCCAAAAAACAAACCAACAACAAAAAAACCCAACAAACAACAACAAAAAAAAAAAAAAAAAAAAAAAAGCCATAATGGTTGTGCAGTACCATGGCAACCACTGGATGGCCGGAATCCCCTGGTGGTGCTTGTCCAATGTGGTCGCGATGGTCAGGTTCTCATCATCGTACGTCAGCAGCCAGATGGCCTTAGCCAGGTACTTCCTGGTGCGGCCCTCGATGGCCGAGCGGCAGGCGTGCAGGTAGCAGATGGTGGCTCCTTCCCCAGTCTCCATCACTCTGGGTGGCCGGGCATTGTAACGAGAGGAGTTCAAATACTCAACACTATGGCAAAAGCAAAAAGTCTCCAATAATTGCTTTCACAGAATAAAGACCAGCATTGATCACTCCTGCTCTCCAGCTGTTTTATTAATATTATACAGGTAAAGCAGAGAATAACTCTACAGCTAATATTCATTACAATCAGAGAACAGACACCGACTTTTTTATCTTTAAAAGTGGGCTATTCTTCAAGAGTAAAGAGAACCACATTGACATTTTAGTTTAGTAAAATTGACATAATACCACCAATAAGAACAGGGAAAAAGTAAAGACGTTATTTGTAAAGGAGATGCCCTTCAGCAAACCCAAGAGAATAACTCTTAAACTAATATTAACTAAAACCAGAGATAAGAGACTGCCTTTCTTTCTTTCGTATAGACAGGGTTTCTTCGTTTTTGACCTTCACACACATCACAAAGTGGAAACTTTCCATGTGATGAGCTAACACCTGCAGTAATGATCAATGCAAGTCGAAAATAACAGGTTATAAACAAAAGCAGAGGGTGACAAAAAAGACACAGAAACTCCAAATCCAACTATTCAGATTCAGAAGCCTTAAATCTACTTGGCTGGTTAACCAACATAGACTCTCCCCCCCCCCCCTTCCAATAAACCCCTCCCAAAAAAACCCTGATCAACTCAACAGACTTAAATAAAGCCATAGAAACACCAAATCTACACCACTAGAGTCAGAAATTCCAAATCTGGGTGAAACAGCAAACAGATTTAACCCTGCCACAGAAACCCCCCAATCTAAAAAAAAAATAAAAATCTATTTTACCTGAATCAGACCCTTCCAACTTGCTTCAGAAACCTCAAATCTACCCACTTTACCATAAATCTATTTGGTGAATCAATGAAGACACAACAGCTCCACATAAATCCTCCAAATCTACACAACCCCATTCAGAAACGCCAAATCTGTCGCACTTTATCAAGAAAAGACTGAAAGGCAGAGGCCAGAGGTCGGAGGTCGCACCTGTCACGGGTGAAGATGGTCTCTAGGTAGTCACCCCACAGTGCCCAAGCGTTGACCAGACAGTCATGGAGCTGCACAGCGGCCGAGAACACCTTGTTGGCCTCCTCCGAGCGGCTGAGGTGCTGCAGGAAGTATCCCTTCATGGCGTAGAGCTCTGCCATCATCTCCTTGGTGAAGAACTTGAGGTTGGTCACTTCAATTACGTCCAGGCCCTGGGAATACCGAGTAGACTTTAAAAAAAAAAGAGGCATGTTTTTCTTCAATTCATCGGCTAGGTGCATTACGTGTGCAGCACTTGGTCTGGTGATAGGCTTTATTGTTTTTGTTTAGAGTCTAGAGAATCACATTGACATAACAGTTATTTAGTACTAGGAAAAAGAAACAGCAGAAGGAAGGAGAAGAAGTAAGCCCTTCTAGTGGTGTCCTCCTACCACTTGCCTGGTGGTAGAAGAAGAAAGCAATGCCCGTACACAGCGATAAACACTTCACCAGACCATTTGAGCACAGATAATCACATACAAGAGTTATTTCACCTAAGAGTAACATTCCTTTTCTATCTTTAACCCTCAGGGTTACTGACAGCTATTATTTGAACCAGACAATTGACCTTTAACCTTTCACTGACCTCAGTGAATTCGCTCTTGTTGAGTGAGGTGCCCATGTGCATGTAGCACTTGACCTGCTGTCGAACCTTCTGGAAACAGTCCAGGACTGGGACACTTGTGATGTTGTGGATCCTGAGGAGAGATGAAGGGGAGAGGATGAGGCGTTGATAACATAGAATCTGTACACACCTGTTGTCAAAGCAAACATTTTTTTCGGTTGTTTTTAACTGAGAATCAGTGCAGAAATGCAATCAATTACCTTTTAATTTTCCTTTAAAAAAAGACCATGTTAGAGCCTGTGAGTTCAACACGAAAGGGAACTTTGCCATTCCCATTGATTTTAATCTGGACAAAGTACATCTTTTTTTCCCCCCAAGTCGGTCTTGTTCTTTTTTCAAGGTAACAAAGACCAAACATTATTAAGAAATTTCTCTTATATGAGAGCATGCAAGCAGTTTTCGATTAGGAGCGTATAGCTATCCATCACAACTTCCCATATAACAAACCGCCCACAGGCTATGGGTGTTTCTAACTGGCCAGAGAGTACTGAGAAAGTCCTAGCCAGCAACACACACTCATATGAACATACAAAATAGTCAGAATAATAGACTAAAAAATGACAGAAAGGCCTGCAGTGACTTTACTCCAAGGGTATATCATCAGTGTATACCCACAAGAGCTTAAGTCATTTTATGAGGTTTTGAGCAAATAAAACAAAAACAGTAGGCCCTAATTACAAGATTGGGTCCTGATAATTATTTTTCATATCTTTTGATGTCTTTATTCAAATTGGCTTCATTTGGAAACCCCAAGAATTTTATTTGAGCCATTGTGGAATGAAGCTGAATATATGAAAACATTATTAAAAAGCAAACAGAAGACACCTTAACCTTTCTGCACAGTGAAAAGACACAACTTTCTGTATGTGCATTCTGCATTGTCTGTTTCACATAACAGGCTAAAACAGTACCTTTACATATGCAGCTGAGACCTGTGTCAATAAATAATAATAATGCTTACAGTAAGGTCTTATTACACAAATTTATACATATATTTTTAGAATTCTTCCTCCCTTAAACTTTTGCAGAAGAAGTAAAAAATTTCCACTGTATCAATTTTTACTTTTTATCTTCAAACATACTTATACAAGTATCTACATTTCTTATGCATAGCAGTTCCTTTCCACATCATGACTTCGAAATAAAATCACAGAGATACAGCATCTGATACAAGCATCACATGATGAACCATGCCAGTAAATCAAGACATGTTTACAGTCTTATCCTTACTTGCTTAGCGAGTCGAGGCTCACACCAACCAGACCATGTTTGCGAGCAATCTTGCCAAAGTGGATGATGGACTGGGCTGTGGCATGCACTCCCAGCATGGAATTTGAGTTCTGAGAAAAAGATGTTACCATCATGAAGTAAGATCAAATAAAAACCACGACAACAGCACTCGTAAAAAACAAAAACAAAACAAATCCAAATACCTTTAATAATGATGAGAACAAAATTCTGGAAAAAAACCAAACAACTTTACTGATAAATTTTATTAGCACAAGCCTGAACTAACATAAAATTATTCCTTTAAAAAAGGAAAAACTGACACACAAAAGCAGGAGAACCACTACTAACAAGGTTGCATAAAAACAGTTGTTGATATCACGGACAGAATATTCTACTTTCTTCATTTCAGTTAAGTTCTGAGTAAAGAGAAGCACCTCGACAAAGACAGTCATTTAGTGCAGGATAAAGCAAAACAAGACAAGACAAAAAGAGGGAAAGTAAAGAAGTGGGATCCAACAACAGCATTCTCTAAGCTGTGGTAAAGGTGTACTTTTAAGTAAATACAGAATTCTATCCTTAGATTCCCAAATACTACTTCATTATATTACAGGAGTAGGCTAGCCATGTGAAGGAAAATACTACCTTAGTTTTTTTTGCTTGCAGTTAAGCATTTTTGTTTTATTTGTTTGAGTAAATAGAACCACTTTAAAAAAATGATGGCATTCAATGCAGAGGAAAAGCAAAAAAGACAAACAGAAAAAACAGAGGGTAAAGAAGAAGTTGAACTTATCAAGACGTGTTTTCCTTTGTTTCAATAAAAAGAAGCACACTGAAACAATAATGGCCTTTCATTGCTGAGAAAAAAAAGCATGAAAGACACAAAAACACCAGAGGGAATGGAAAAAGATAAGCCTATCAGGGGTGCTCTCCAGCCATTAATCCCTGTCAGCTACTCCTACCATACTTACATTGTCACTGCTCTGTTGGTTCTCAAAGTGAGAGATGATGAATTGGTAGTGATGCTGTCTCCACGTGAAAATGTCACTCCAGTGAGACAGGTCATCTGATATCATTGGCAACCGATTCCTGAATGAAAACAGGAGCTAATCATGTAAAACATCTACCACACACTAAAATATCATTGACCAATCACATAATAGGTCTAAGACATAAAAGACAGTGCATCTTTATTCTTAATAATCCATTACATTTGTGCAAAACAAGATTTCCCCTTAGTAGAACAGATATTAAAAAAAATACAAATACATTTTCTAAACTGAAATCATACACTTGTTTTATTGACCCCATGGACAAACTTGATTTAAAAAATGGCATAAAACTGTTCTATTTACACACATCATCATGATGCACAAGATCACACTAACGCACTGTCTCTCCAATATGGCATTTCTGGTTGTTGCTACTAAGCAGTGCCCTCTTCATTTTTTAGAAAGGGTTGCAGTGTCTAGATTTTTACGGCACTTGCAACACAATAAGGTCATTTAAGTGCCGAAGATTAGAGGTCTTACAAGAAAGTAACAAACATAAAAAAGAAGGAGGGGAGAAAAAGACGATAGTTGTTTGATAGGAAAGAACGAGCAAACCACACAGAGCACCTGCCAACCACACAGAGCACCTGCCAACCACCCACCGTGTGTCTAGTTCAAGGACACATTCCAGTGACACTACCTAAATGCCATTTAATCCATAAATGCCTGACATTAACAACAAAAACAATAATAACAACAGCAGCAACAACAACAAAATAAGAAACAGGTAGATGATGGCGACTGTCTTTTGAAAATGATAAACTCAGCACCCAGCAGAACATGAGGCTTCCACAATAGTAACAACAACCACAAACAGCAGCAAAGGAAAAAAAGACAGAAATAAGGTTTTGGCCTACTTTAAAAAATGTAAAACTCTGTGTATCTGGCAGAGAATAAGACTTCAACAACAACAATGCCAAGAATAACTATAGTGAACACTCCATTAGCTCATTTGGAATCATGCTGGACTATGGAGCGGACGCCCTGGATTTGAATCTCAGAATGGGCGTTCTTGAACTTGGGTCGTTTTATAGAGTTTTCAAGGCTCTCGACCCATTTGGCTCTTCTTTTGGAGACGGACGTTAATTTTGGAGGTCTCGCCTCTTAAATAAAGTAATAGTGTTGATAGGGGCATTAAATCCCTACACTTACTTGTCTACAGCGACCACAGCAACAAGAGAAAAACCAACAAAATAACAACAGCTACAACAATGCTGGCAAAGGAGAAAAAAACCACCAGATCAGGATGGGACTTACTTCCAAGTCTTGACGATAGCCTTCATGTCGTGCACGCTGGTGCTGCGTGCTATGCTGGCTGGCTGAAGACTCTGGTTGATTTGAGCTGCCTCTTGAAGCTCCATGATCATCTGAGCTGCCTGGGGACATTGAAAATGGAATTGTAAATGTTTTATGCTTCCATCGACACAATTTAACTCGTTTGGGAAGCAGGCCGCTTCGACTCTCTCCGTCAGTGCCTACCCGAGCCAAATGGGATAAAACGTCCAAGAAGATAGATGTAGATTGGATATTCGATTTTTAAAAAGCTTCCCCTACAGAAATTGAACTTGTCTTCTGCAGTGACAAAGAGCTGAACCTGTACACCTCAGACCACAGTTTGGAGAGATCAACAATCATGTACACCAAGTAGTACAAGCCACAATATCACTTACGTTATATATGCCGAAACACAACACGACAACCTCCCCTCCACCACAAGAGAAAGGTATGTTTCTTTTCCTTGCATAAACAAAAGCATACTGATGCGGAAAAGGTCATTTAGTGCAGGGAGCAGGTAAAAAGTAAGATGGACAGAGAGAGGCAAAACTGGGGGGAAAAACAGAAGTAAGACTTACTGGTGGTGCCAAGACACATAATGATAACTATAACGTTTTTTCACCAAAGAGAGATGTGTGTTTTGTTCTAGTTTGAATAAAGAGATGCACACTGGCACAAAAATGGTAATTAAGGGCTGTAAAAAAAACAGACAGAAAGAACAGAAGGAAAGAACACAAGTACCCCCTATCATTGATGCCCTCCATATACATTATAGAGAGAGATGAATAAGTAAAAACCGCCTACAACAACTACGGTTTGGGTAAATACCTCTATAAGCACTGTCAGGTTATTTAGGATACACGACTTCACAATTCAGCATCTATATTATTTGATAGGACAAAAACAAGAGGGTACAGAGTTGTACAATTGATTAAACACAAACAAATAGATCTAACCATTAAATATCCTCTTTTGAATTTCTCCTAATATTGAAATCGGATAGTATTTACTTACTTATATCCTGATAGTCAATGATTGACTGATAAGAATAAAAGCATTAACACCAGCTTCAAGATCATTGTGCTAGGGAATTAATAAATTGGGTAATCTTCATTGTAGTTGTGCATAACAGTGTTAAAAGCAGGTAAACCCATACCTGAGTTTGGTTAGCAAGCTATTTAGAAAAACTTACCTGTAAATATTGCACATGAATCTGACCCACAATGCTTGGGAGTCGCCGCCATTCCTTGATCACTTGGTTCCCACAAGTCTCCACCAAACGCTCGATCTATCGAATTCACATGATACAAAAAAGTGTCTTCACAACAATGGCAAATAGTTTCTTCAGAGATTAACTAGATGTACATCTATCATGGAGCATAAAGCAGCTAAAAATACAATTAGACACAATACTATCAGCTAGAAAACACTACAGACTATGGGATCAAAGAAAAACTCCGATATACAATTATCATGTAGGATAATAAATCGCAACACCACAGACCACAGAAGGCTTGTTGCTAACAACAAATGCCTATTGTTTAATCGACTTCATCTGCCTGATCAGACTGGAATGGGCCAGGTCAGGTAATAGCGCTGGCCAGAACTCTACATCAAATACACCTGAAGTCCATTAGGACCCTATAGATTCGGTGCAAAGAAAAGACAGGACACCACAATGTCATGTGACATGCCGTAGACTTCAGATTGGCTGATAGTCATGACTTTCATCAAATGCATCTGATTGTGACTAAGACTATCAAGCCTTTTTGAATTTGAAGAATTTCGCCCTCAAATAAATCAAACAAAAAATTCGGATTTGATGAAATTTTCTGCAGTGTGCACTTGGTGTAACTCATTGCCCTTGGCATATCAGCCTGGCTAACATCACAGACTCCTAAATAACTATAACATTTAAGCATTACTTCACATGGGAAACATTGTAATGAAGAGAAAAGACAAATACTTTAGCGAAGCATGAGCAAAATGTTTGGAATAAAACATTGAAAAAAGGAATTTTCATTAACTTCTATCATAGGCTACTATAATCCCTTCTCGACTCTATATCACATTTTTTCCTATCTGGCGAATAAGCCAACACGTCACTGACACAATGCCATTCGCCATCTTTCAACATGCAAGGACTACAATGATGGGTGTCAATTATCTTATCGTTAGTGTCATTACACAATTGTTTAAGTTCTTTTTTTCAGGTTTCTTGAAGTTGGAATTGAAAATGCAAGATATTTGTTTTCATATCCTGGACATAGGAAGCTTTTCCTTCATGCACTAAAAATTCAGTTAATTATTGAGATATTTTCCTTTTTACTCAAATTATATGATTGATAAAGGTAAGCCTTAAAAAAAAAAGTTAACTCAAAAAAGACTTCCGCATTTGTGTTATGACTGAAAATACATTTTTTTAAAAATGTGGAAGGTGAAAATCTGCCTAAAACTGATTAGTCACCACAAAAAGGTTAAGCAAAACAAGATGAAAAAGATTACCTGCTGTGAGTTGAGATGATGCTCCTCAGAGTTGCAGATGGCCAAATATCCTCGAAACAGGTTAATTTTCCACTGCTGTTCTCGTTTGAAGTTGCCTTCCACCTGCAAGGAAAATCAAGGCAACTGTCAATTTGAAGAACTGGCTAAAGTCATGTGTGTTCAAGTCTTTGAAGACATACACAATAACAGGAATAAAAAAAAAACTGCAGGGTGAATTCCGCTGAGGGGAACAAACTACAAACTACAACTCACTTTACCTAGGGGATAAACCACAAACCACTTTATTCAAGGAAACAGAAAACAAAGCACAACACATTCAACCAGGAAAATAAATCACAGACCACAAAACCACACTACTTTCACTACAGGGGGAAACAACCCACTACTCATTCTACCAAAGGAACCAACCACAAACCACTCCATGAAATGAACAAACCATACAACTCACTCTGCAGAAGGAAAGAACCAAAGACTACATTACTCACTCTTCCATCATTTTACTAGAAGAATGAACCACAAACCAAACTGTTCACTCTACCGAAGCAAAGAACCACAAACCACAGACAAAACTACTTACTCTGCCGAGAGCGTCCTTCATGAGGGGCCAGTTGGGAACCCTCCACGCACACTCTAGGATGAGCTCGGGTATCACATTGCCGCGGGAGTTGGCATACTCTAGCAGTGTCTCCCATTGGTTCATTTCCTTAGAGCATCTGGGGGAACAAATCAGGAGATCCTCAGCTTCACAAAGAGGTGAAAACAATTCGAGCCAATGCGTCAGAAAGACTAGAGATGGAGGCATTGGTTATGAACAAACGTTTTAAAGAAATCTCTGTGTCATTTACTGGTCATGTACATTTTAAATGATAAAATTTAGTTAATGGGCTCATATCACTAAAAACAAGGTTCTGCTCATGAACTCATTTTGTAAATAAGAAGCCCAAAATGGTGTCTTACAAATGTATTAAATGCAAAACTAGAAACAATGAACCCAAATTATTCACATTGCCAGAAACATTTTCAATCATGACAGTGATCAGACTTGGAAAACCATAGAAATTAGACATTATAGTACCTGCATTGACAGAGTGCCTGATGATTTTACCAGCACCTAACTTTATTCTTTTACACAAACTAATATACGTTTATGAAGTTGTGAAAATATACAAATATCTTGACACTGAAAAGATCACAGGACTGACAGTCTCACTGCATTTCAGCCCCTTTTCAGCACAGTGCTGCTTTTACAAATCTGTTGAGTCTTTAAAAAATTCTCAAAAAAAGCAGGAAAGGGGTCACAGTAGGACTAAAATAACTACGTAATAGTGACAGACAGTTAGGGTGAGCTATAAGACCCCTATAGCTCTTTACCGTGAAGCTACAAGTAACACTCACTTGATCCAGCACTCTTCAATAAGTTTCAGCTCCATCCACCCTTCTCTCGGAGTGGGTGATGTGTTGTGGTCCATTCTGATCTTGGACATAACCTGGAAGTGCACAGAGACAAAACATTTAAAAAAAAAAATGATGACACAAAATATTATTCTTCCCTCAACTCCACTTTAGACAGAGACAAAGATGGGGGGAGGGAGGATAGAATCAAACTCAGACAAAAAATCAGTTATGTATTATCCCACATGGAAATTAAAGCACATCTTTACATCCTCAGCGTGCAGAGGTGAGGAGTCCAATCATTTTACCACAAACACTTGTCGAACAGTTTCATATGAAGAGAGTAAGATACACAAATGAGAAAATTAATTGGCACACAATCATGCTGTTTATCTATAGGCACCATAAAAAAATCTTGTAAAAGTGCAACAAACCCCTTCAAACGTGGTCTGAGCCTGCTCAAAGAAGCCGTGCTGCATGTAAGCAAGAGCTGTGTTGGTCTCTGGGTACTTGGCTCTCTTCTGCCACAAGCCTGAGAACATATCCTCTTCCTTCAGGAGGGCATAAATCTCACACAGGCAGTCCATGGTTTCCTGGAACAACAATAGGGTGTCAGAAAATTGTATGTGGGTAGTCCTACAACAGAAACAGATACTTGGGACGAAGCCTGCTCAGTTCCATGACTGATTTTTTTTTTGGTGGGGGGGGGGCTCTCATAGTCAAATGGTCCCTGGTTCAAAACCCGCCATACATTTTCTTTTCTATTTTTTCCTCCACTCCCATTTTTTAATCCTGTTCAGTCAGATGCTATCATCACACTTTCTTCTCACAACCCTCCATGCTCCTCTCTCCCTTCCTCTTAAATCGCTCTCTACTGCTACTCCTGGCCCCTTCTTACTGCTGTACTTCAGCCACATTCCTGATCTTTTGTTGGTAAGTTTGAACACCTACAATTCTTGGATAATGGTGAAAACTTTCAGAGGTCTAGTGTGCAGGTTGGGCACGTTCAAGATCCCTTAGTGGCCCTAAAATCTATGAGTACGCTTTGGTCACCACCTGAGCAAAATTAAAAAACAATTCCCACCAAAACTGAAAATATTCTAGTCAGTATAAAATAAAGAAGTATGTTTGAAATCAGAATGTGGCTGCCCGAAGTCAAGGGGCCTTATGAAGTGTGGAAAATGGTTACATAGGTAAACTCAATTGCACTGCAGGTTGAAGAACCCATGAGATCTAGCAGGGGAATGCAAAGAAGAAGTTTCATGACAAATTCCTTGCCCATCCAGCGCCGAAATGTATCTTTCTGTACTCCAATTCTCGTAACACTTTTTACAATTTTGAACATGCATAACACGAAAACTCCCACATAAGAAACTACGTTTCTCAAGTCATAACCAACAAATTATCTTCACAATGTTCTTAACATTTTCTGCATTAAAATACCTGAGCTGATTCATCCCCTACAGCAACAATAGGGGAAAAACAATGCTTAAGAAAAGAGTAATAGAGGAACTAAAATGACGTTTGTGGAAATGAACGTAAACGAACACATAGAAGAATTAAATCAAGCTTAGAGAGGAACCAAAACGAACTTAGAGAGGAATTCAAACCAACATACAGAGAAATTATAAGGATCAGAGCAGAGAGAAGAGTTTTAAAATTCAAAACATCCAGAGAAACTACAATCATCAGATCACAGCGAGGAATTAGCAGAAAACATACAGAGAAAATAAAATAAACATAAACATAGAAAGGAACTTGCACAAGTACAGAGGTGAGCTAGAGCTAAATTAACCATAGAGAGTCAAGTCCTTCGTCACTTCATCATGTTCCAACAACGTTACCTGTAGAGGCGCGGCCGGCTGGGGTTCGAAGTCATACTCGTTGACGGCGAGCCTGGCAATGCCGGGGATAGGGTTAGGGTCATCAAAGGCAGCTGCCTCCAACAGCAAACAACTTCTGTGCCACAGGTTGTGGGTGCGTGCCAGGTACTGAAACATCAGGTATTTACATTACTTCTCGCATACATGAGGTACACCAGGATAAGTTTGAAAAAAAAAGTATATCATTGAAGAAATAGTAATTTAGTGCAGGGATAGAGAAAGATAGACAGACAGAGACAATAGAAGGAAATTGCTTGTTTAAATAGAGAGAAGTGCATCGACACAATTACAGTCATTTACTGCTAAGAAAGAGTAAGACAGAGCAATATTACAGAACTAGTTCCTTTCGAAATAAGACACCCTGCACTTTCAATTGTTGAGCAACTATTTTCAGTTAGCCCGGTTGACAGACACTCATGATAAAATCACAGAAAGTCTAAAGCAATTATGCTCATGATAAAACATCAAAAAGCTTCTGTCAACAGATGCTCATAATAAAATCTTGGAAAATGTTGGTCAACAGATATCCAAGATAAACTCTCTTAGAGGGTCTTGGTCAACAGACTCTGATAAAAATATCTCAGAAGGTCTTACTAGAAAGACATACCTTGAGACCGCAAGCCTTGATGGGTATGGGTGGCACGCACAGAGCTATGCCCTCCACCAAAGTGTGCACAGCGCTGGGGTGGCAGTCTCTCTGGTTCACGTGCGAGCCGCTGGTCAAGAAAGGCACCAGCTCTTTTCTGAGACGCTGTTGGGAGAGGTGACAACAATTTAGTATAGTTTCAATAAGTTTTATGGCATTTGCAGCACCATTAGATTGTATAAGTGCTGAAGATGAGAGGTATTACTAGACAGTAGGATACAAATAAAAGAAGGAGAGATAATAACCAAAGATGTTTGATAGGCAAGTAGCTGCTCTGGTACCCTCAGCATGACAGCCTAGAGCTGAGGCCTTTCACCATCATGTATTGCTTTCCACTGTCACTAAACTTGTGAATAACTGAGGAAAGTCTTGCTGTCACTTCTTCCGAATATATCTACTTAATAGAAATAAATATTTTAAAAAATTATAAATTCCACTTAACCCTTATGAAATTTGTTTTACATTGACATACATACATACACACATACATTACTACATAAATACATGAGAATAATTCACAGTAACAGAAACATAGGCAATCTACACATCATTGCTGTTCGACATATATATATATATATACTAGCTGGGTACCCGTTCGATGAATGGACTCAAAAGAATCGATTGTCAGGTAATTGTGGAATCAGTGTGCACTGCTTGTGAACGGAAGCCTCAATTGTTTACATTGGCGTCTTAGAAGACAGATTTTCCCAAGATTAGAACTAAGTGGAACTAATGAAAACTGAAAATTAAACTGCAGTGACTTCAGACTCCATAATATAACTATAACTGTGCACCCTTTAAATGATTCTGAACAATCATTAATTTTTTCAAATTCGAAAGTTAAGTGGTTCTGAAGTTTAAGGCGATCAAAGTGACGAACTTTCACAAATACAATATATCTGTATTGATATATATGAAGGAGTTAAAAAAGCACACGAAGGAGACATTCTAATTTTTTCTTCTTCTAATGTCGTCACGTAGGACAAAACATGGGGGGGGAAAAAATGTAAGCGTTCTTACTCCATACTGACGTAATTTAGATAAAACACATGAGCGAGAACTCATCTGAAGGATAACAAAACACATGAACAAGTTAAGAAAACACAATCACATGTCGACAAAGCACATACTTCCTGCTGCTTCTCATTGAGTATCTTCCAGATGCGTGGGAAGAGGTCAAGCCAGGTGGTGTGAGCCAGGTCAGTGGAGCTGTGGGCCAGCTGGCAGAGGCTGTCCAGGTACTGGAACGTCTGAGGATTGACAGGTACGAATGATCATTATTAATATGACCCTCACTTATTAAAACAAATAGGAAGGGACAAATTCCGTCTGCTACATTTGAATTTACATAAAGACCTTGAATGCCTTGAGTTTACTGGAAAAATAGAAGACGAAACGTGCAGAGGTAGACCAAAAACAATTTGCTTAGAGAACTTGAACAGAGGGGTGACGGGGAAAGATCAGAATAATATAGGCTTTAAAAGAGCACAGGGCAGAGAAATAAATGGCAAACTACGACAGCGAATGTCTGTTTCTGATCTGGCACTTCATAAAGAGGGTGATGATGATTGTCAAAATGACTGGCTTACTAGTACAAAGTTGACCAATACATAATAATAATAATTGCATTTATATAGCGCATATCCACACTCTACAGCATGCTCTATGAGCTTTACAACAACTATTACCCTAGCAGACCCTAGTACACTCAGAAACATTCTCAGCTTCCCAGAAAGCACAGAGCAAACTGCAGATTACACACACTCCCCACCTGGGTGAAGTGAATTTTTTTTTATAAAGTGCATTTCCCAAAGACATAACGTTGGGTCACTGCTGGGATATGAACTCATGACCTTATGGTTGCAAGTCTGAGAGCCTAACCACTCGGCCACTGATGCTACAATTATTACTCATACTGACTTAACGCTCCTGATCTAAAACTTGACCAAAATAAGTTCTCTTCTCCAGGAAAATATTAACAGAAATGATTATCAAATACATTATTATGATTATCCTTCATGTGCTTATCTAAGAATCTTTCTTTCTTGCTTTACTCCTGTCCGATATATTTATGCACAACTGTCATTTCACTACATATTCCTCGCCTGCAAATCCATCATTTTGGGAATATCATACATTCTTGTATATTATATCTTGCCATGGAATTATTCATTGAAATCACACTCACATCTGCCCTCAAGAAAATAAGAGCTAATTTTGATAAACCGTAAACAAGAAAGTATTCCTTTTTACTCCCTACATATCTATAGACAGTCAGGCACCGATGGGCCATCTCCTAGGTAGCCTATTTGAAAAGAGAGGCCAAATATTGTTTAATTTAACAAACTCAAAATTTCATGTCAGTATTGCATGCATTTTTTGTTAGTTTTTGTAAGAGTGTTACGGCGCATGCATTTCTATTCCCTAAATTTTTGCACCAGTTATTGAGATAATGTATTTAACTCTTCTTTGGAACATAGATGAAAACCAGGTGATAGAAAAATTTAGAACCACTTCCCACCTTCACTTCTCGACAAGTCTCTAGGAACTTGGTCTCCCTGTTGATTAGGGTTTTCAGGCTTTGACCAGTTTCTTTCTTTGGAGCCTTGGACGATGTTGACTCTTCTCCCGACTCTGATGTCAGCTCAAGATCCATGTCATCCTGGGCAAAAAAACGGTTTTATAGATGAGGAAAGATAAACTAAGACAAATATTCTAGACCCCACCTTGGCCGAGAGCTATCTTTATCATACCAATTGACTCAAGGCAAATGTCTGAGGAAATGACCCCC